TGCTATAAGGCAATAAGATGGCCTCATCAGATACCAGTCTCAGGATTAAAATCGCCGTTATTCAAGCTATCGAATGACTACTTGACGTCTAGTGAAAAATCTATATCCAGCGGGAAAGACCTTAAAAACGCTTATCGAAAGGAGCGCACGCCGTCCCAAAGGGTAAAATGATTACTCGTGTCTTTATTAACCTCGACTCTTAACTGCTGGTTGACATCCGCAAAGTGTGAGGCACTGCCTTGCTTCGGCTCGAAGAGTCGCGTCCGTGTCAGCTGATCTCACCGTCTTCAATAGCTCAGCAATAAGATGAGGATGCTACAAAATTCTTGTGTATAGCTGTAAGAGAAGTTTTAATATGATAAAAGTGAACTTTCTCTGCTTAGTTCTCAAAATAATCCAATTACCTGAGCCGCAATTATTCTCGTCGGAGGAAATCGAATGATATGCCAGCTAAGTTCTTGAACACGAGTCAATTTCGAGTCAGAGGATTCAGCTGCAAGCACCTTCTTAACGAGGGCTCTAGTTCGATTCGTGACCTCTGTCCTCGAGATTTGCTTCTCAAACGTATATTTCGACACCCTGTCCAAGAGAAAGATAGATCAAAAATAAGAAGCCTATATTACACATAACGATAAACCCTTACGGAACCGTGGGCCGATGGTCTCTGCATCTCTAACTGGCAACTTTGGACGGGCTACTCCACCTCCTCTGCATGTCCAATGTCCAGCGTGCTGCGTTTTAGCTATGGTAAGCTGTTGCGTCTAAAAATGGCACTCTGGGGGTATGAGACGCAGAAGAGGTGAAGCAGACCATCCAGCGTTGCCAGTCAGAGGTGCAGAGACCGTAGGTCCACAATTCCGAGAGGGTTACAAGGAAAATCGACTCACTTTGCCTTGACAGGAGCTCCGCTGGTAGAGGTCTCGGTAACAACTGGCGTGGCTGTACCATTGTCGACTTTTAACCCGAACAGATGCGTAGCTGCTACCGTCTACAACAATATGAAGCTAAAAATATGCCTTGCAATCATTTTTGAGCCACGCATGTCAGTGTTCTGTCAAATAGGGCTGACTTATCGAGCCCGATACACGTGTTTCGATCTTGCGATCTCTATAAGTCAGCCCTATTTGACAGACCACTGACATCCGTGGCTCAAAAATGATTGCAAGGCATATTGAATTTTGAGCTGTGGTCTTAAAAAAACACTCGAAAAGAAAAATGTGAGCTAAGTTTCAACATTATGAGGAAGCGTGTGCCGCACTGAATGGATGTGCCCTGAGACACTCTAGTGGTCGACGGTTGGATCTCGGGTTCAAGGCTCGCAAGCTTTCTATCCTTCGGATTCGGCGAATTGGAATTAGACTTGTCTAGAAGGATATAAGCACTGACCTGGTACATCGGGAAACCACCCCGAGTCATTGTAAAAGCCAGGGATGCATTCAGTCATCTCAAATGATGCTTGATGAAGTGGAATGTAAGTGGATCTCACAGGATCGATCAAGCTGAGAGCTTTCATAGCCTTATATATTAGCCCTCTCGAGACCTTGGACCCTCGGCTTCCGCATCTCTGTTTGACAACTCTCGACGCTCTGTTCCACCTCCTCTGCATGAGGTTAGAGATGAAGAAGAGATGAAATAGACCGTCCAGTTGCCAGCCGGAGAAAAGGAGTCCGTGGGTCTACGGTCCCCAAAGGATTGACGCTCACTTTATTTGACTCGTACACAGCTTTTTTACTACTGTGCGGGTCCCCGTACCTCTGGAGATAAGTTCGCTTTTCACCTTCCCTATAAACTTTTGGAATACTGGTTTAGCATATTCCCAGGCAAAATCTCAATCATAGCCAGGTTGGAGCGTTACATAGGGCGTTCGTTATTGATTCGAACAGTGTTAGGGACTGGGGATCAACCTTGCATTGAGCCGCGCCGAGCATCACTAACCAGTCGACCACAGGCCTCCAATTCTCTCTAGCTTCATAGAAAATAGAAATATCTAATGACGATGAACTAAAAGGCTCACCTTAGCGAGTATAGAATTGATGGCTCCGGCTAGATAACCAGTATAATTTTGTAAAATCCCCGTAGTCTCAGTGTCTCCGGTGGCTTGAGAAGGAACACCACCAAACGAGGAAATCGAAGTCGAAAGCGATCGTCGTTGGGCTATAGAATAACACGAACGTGCGCCCACTGCCGATCCATTTAAGAGCATCTGAAATGAAGTGACTTCCACCAAATTCCACCCTTCTATTCGGTAACATTCGCAAAGATGATAACAGTATGATCGACCACTGAGATGCGACTTGTTAGAAAAAATCCTTCACATGTTAGGGTGGAAATCGGCCAAGAGAGTAAGCTAGGGCTTGCTAATTGGGCTAGGGCTAACTATACAAAGGCGCTAACCCAGAATCGATCTTATCCTCAAGTACGCACCTAATTACTAAGCCATTGGGCCGCTTCATAAGTTTTTGGCACTAGAGAGAACAATAAAGACCCTTTTCCGTTTGGTGATACAGATTTCTAAGCCTATCCCTTTCGCTTGAAAAGAACTTTTCATATGGAGTGTTAGTAATCATTTGGAAGCTCAAATCTCTGGCTAGAGCCGTATGCCACCGCTTCCTCAAAAAACCCCTTTATAACGTTGTAAAATGCAAAATAAAATCATGTTTCACATCGGCCGCGCAATTCAATTATTACTTTGGTGGATGTACGAAAAGCATATGAACGCGTGGAGAAAATCTTCTGTATGGGAATCAGACCTTCAATAGGGAGGTCCTCTCAGAACAGGAGAAACAGATCTCAATCGAAGAATCGATATATCGAACTCCTTGAGATTTGTACTATCGATGACTAGTGAAACTTTCGGTACTGCGCCATGTCGAAGCCCACTACGAGCGGAGCAGATGAAGGTAGTGTGAAACATAATTTTTTCTCGCTGTTATAACGTAATAGAAACGCTTCTTTCGAAAATCAAACATATCTCCGTAATTACAGAGATTTAAACTCTTTGAACGATTATCAAACGTCTGAGAGAAAACTTTTGCCTAGCGAGAAAGGCCCTCCAGACAAACGTCGTGTTGCTCAGTAGGTACACGCCGTCCCCTAGGAGTTAGCTGCTAATATATCAATCATTTGAGCAGACAGTTATCAAACACCTCTGATCTGGGTTACAAAGGTGGGTGGACTAACTCATTGAGGAGAGATTTTCTATTTCTGATTTGAAAAGAAATGTAAAAAAAAGGAGGAACTCAGGAAGAAAATACGGTATTATGTTAGACGGCGACAGACTTTTAAGCCGATCTCATTCGCTCGACAGAAACTTTTCATAGGAGTGTTAGTGATCATTCGACAGCTTAAATCTCTGGCTACGATTCCGCGTGGCCGGTTTTTCGAAACACCCTTTTATAACGACGTAGCATTCAGAATAAAATCTTGTTTCTCACTCACCTTTCGCCTTCATTTTTTACAACGCGTATAAATCGCTGGAAGCATGAAAAGCATATCAGTTCGTAGAGAAATTCCCGTAGTATCAGAATTTATGTTTTCCTTTGAAGTTTCTGTCAATGCGATGAAGAAAATTCCCAACTGAACAACTATATTTCAAACCCGATCAATCCCCCCCCCCCCCCTCTCCGCTCCGTGAGTTGGCCAGTAAAAAAGGTCGCCGAAAAGGTCCATAGCTAAGAAGAATGTGAAGGGAAGCCACAACGACAACTTGCTCGTAAGGTAATCGCCTGATCTACCGTATAGCTCGATAGGGAACCACCGCACTTTGCGTGAAACGGCGGCGACTATGTTATTTTGTTGAGGATTTTCTCATCAAATCGACATAAACCTCAGATAAGAACGCATGATTCTGATACTACGGAAAATTCTCTACACTCTGATATGCTTTTCGTGCTTCCAGCGATTTATACGCGTGGTAAAAATGGAGGCGAAATGCGAGTGAGAAACAAAATTTTCTTTTGAATGCTACAGCGTTATAAAAGGGTATTTTAGAAAAACCGGCCACGTGGAATTGTAGCCAGAGATTTAAGCTGTCGAATGATTACTAACACTCCTATGAAAAGTTCCTGTCGAGCGAATGAGATCGGCTTAAAAATTTGTCGCCGTTTACTGTATAAGTATCGAAAATGTCAGAATTCTTTTTATTTGACCGCCACTGCGTGGTATGATTACAGTCCCAATAATGTGGAGTGCTGTGCAAAAACATTTGCGTCAGCCGGGATTCGAACCCAGATCTCACTCTTTCCGCGAGCGTATGCTAACCGTTGCAGCACCGACGCTGGCCCCCAGGAAAGAGTGAGATCTGGGTTCGAATCCCGGCTGACGCAAATGTTTTTGCACAGCACTCCACATTATTGGATATATCGAAAATGTTTCAAAATGATGTCTATAACTTGGATTCTATCCTGATTCCTCATTTAACTAATCAAAATAAAAGTAAAACTTTAGAAAAAAACTCAAGCCTTCAGTGAATCTCAATCACACAAGAACATGAATAGGCCGGACAAATAAATAAACAAATAAGTAAATAAATAAATAAATAATAAATAATAAAGATGAATATAAAGACATAAACAAAACAATAATAGAATAAATAAGAATTTATTACAAATAAAAGATAAATAAATAAATAGGTAAACAATAATATAAATAGGAGATATCTGAAGGAAGCGATGGGACCATGACAAGCATCACTCCGAGGAAAATGAGAGAGAGAGAATGACTGACGACGGGAAGGAGTGGGAACTTCCCCGTAGCACATGACGTCGTCGTCTCACCCCTTGATGACGTCATCGCAGAGTGTGCAAATCAGCTGATCGACTGCTTCGTGCACGGGACGGACGGACGGATGGACCACCCGGAACTTGTCGGGACCAGTTGGTCACTTCGATCGTGATCGCCTTGAGCATATGTTCCTTGTCGTGGATAATGTCCTAACATCCAGCATGAATCAGCTTTCCCTCTCGATGATACGTATTCGTCAAAGTATGTTACAAGGGCCATCCTCCGTAGTAAGTGGTTAGTATCCGCGCCTGTCACGTGCAAGACCCGGGTTCAATTCCCGGGCCGAGGAGGACGTTTTTGAATGCCGATGTTCGAGCTAAGCTTTTTACCATTTTCTCTCTTAGACGGTTACTCGCCATGCTTCATGTTCGATGAAGCACGTCTACCTAACTCATACACTGTAGAAGTTCGACCTCTGTTCCTTTCCATATCCTCCATTCGACGTTTTTGCCATCGAACATGCTCAACAAGTGCATTTGTCATGGCAATTTCGGTAGGCGTGATCAATCGCCCAGACCGAGAAGACTCAAGCACTAGTTCATTCTCCTTTCACTGTTGGACGATACTTTCATGAAACATGTGTGCTGAAGCGTACTTCTAACCATCCTCTGGTAGTATAGTAGTTAGTATCCGCGTTTGTCACATGCGAGACCCGGGTTCAATTCCCGGCCGGGGAGAATCTTTTGAATGTCGATGTTCGGGCTAATCTCCTCTCATTTCCTCTGTTAGACGGTTTTTGCCATCGAAGATGCTCCAACAGAGTGCGTTTGTTCATGCGATTTTCGGTAGTGTATGATCAATCGTATGGAGACGCGGGTTCAATTCTAGACCAAGAAGATTCAAGCACTAGTTCATTCTTCTTTCACTATTAAACCATATTTGCCATGGAACATGCTTGCTGAATCGTGCTTTGCCGACCATCCTCGGTAGTATAGTGGTTAGTATCCGCGTCTGTCACATGCGAGACCCGGGTTCAATTCCCGGCCGGGGAGTGCGTTTTTGATTTTCGGTATTCAAGCTCTTTTCCTTCCCATCTCCACTATTAGACGGCATTTCGCATGACAGATGCTCATTAAAGCAGCAATTGTCATTCAATATACGATAGTAATTGAGCAGCATCCGCGTATTACGTACGTGGTTCAATTACCGTACGGTGAGTATGCTTTTGAATGTCGAATTCAAGCTCTAGGACATTTGGAATGACACGTGTCTGTGGAAGCAGGAAGTGCCCATTCGATCAATGATTTTTTCTTGGATAGTCAGGTACTTGAACGGTGATCCCACATTAAAGTCACTAACAGTTGATCTGTTTTCCGCGCTACAATTAATCCACGGTAAAAATCGAAAATATAATTAGTTTGTACTTTCAAGAGCAACTTACTTTTCTAATCAATGATTTTTCTTGGAAAGTCACGTAAGACAGGTTTGATAAGAATGTTTATAAGAAAAAAAAACTCAATTTCGGTAATGCTGTGACATTTTCGTCTTCAAAGCCCATGATTCGAGTTGATTCCCTTCATGTGCTCTGCAGAAGACGAAGAGGTCGGAACGTAGAACAAGTAAAGCACTTTTCTCATTTTTTCACATGACCCCTCTATCACAATTCACTGTGCGGATCCCAGCAGTTCTTACATTTGCTCGATTTCTCGCATTCATCCTCTACAAAGTTCTTCAAACATTTCTCGTACCATATCGATTGCTGCTTGAGATTTTCGTATTCTTCATGGACGTTGTGGGAATGATGATCAAGACGAATGCGACCACAGAGACAGTCGAACAGAGACGTCTAGAAAAGAATTGTACACTTGGACGGCCCGTCTTGATTATAATGCGGGCACAGGGAAACCGGGCTGTTCAGATGTTTTCTTCCTTGGAGTCTCGAGATAAGCCTAGCCGGGGCTTCTTCAGGTCGTCACCCTCATCAGAGCAGTCGTCGAAATTTTGGATCAGAGGGAAATTAGCATTGCGACTAGTAGCTACCAAGACGGCGCCCATTCCTGGTATGATTTCCTCTCATAGCTAAGCTTTCCGAGGAGGAAACGTCGGACTGCTGCTAAGCTGGAGAGACTGCTGGGGAGTTGAATTTTGGACTTCCCGCTGTATTTCGCTGTCCGACACCTGGGAACACCCAGGCACGATGAAGAGGTGAACCATCCAGGAAGAAGAGAGTAACATCGTAGTTGAATTAGATTTTCTCCTGTAGCTCCACATTCACGATCGTCTAAATTCTTTAAAAATTTTGATAAGATTTCTGAGGTTTTGAGGCAATTGAAATTCTTCATTCGAGCGATGCTCTCACCGAAGAAAATGGACTGGAGTAACGAAGATGAAGACGTCAACGAAGACATAGACAGTAACGAGAACGAACGACTGTGGACAATCGACATTGATCACTGACTCTGAAAAAGACAATGATGTCGAAACTTCAGTGCAGATTATTTGTGTTCATTTCGCAACCCCGTGCCTCCGACGACACAATGAAACGTCTAGTGCACATCTCAGAGACGAAAACTGTCTAGCCTGCGGTACTCGGCATTGCCACTTAGCTTTCAGGAAATCCCTCTTTTTTCGTGAGCCATTTTGTGATTACATGTGTCCTGGTTTATGTCTGTTAGATGTTTCGGTAAACTTCGGCGTACGTTTCGGTGA